GTTTTGGCAAACTACAGTATATAGATAGATTGTCCCCGGCTCTAATTAGGATCTTTAAAGATACTAATATAAAAATTGCCAATTACAACTTAAGACCCCTCAAATCTTTCTATTCCAATCTTAAAGACATTACCCCACCGTTACATAAATCAGACGTTGTATATTGCATTAAATGCTCTTGCAATTTAATTTACATTGGTCATACTTCACAGAAGTTAAAAAAACGGCTAACACTTCATAAAAGTGATTGTAAGTTAAAACCAAATATTACTAGTTTAAGTGCTCAATCTATATATATATATATATATATATATATATATATATATATATATATATATATATATATATATATATATATATATATATATATATATATATATATATATATATATATATATATATATATATATATATATATATATATATATATATATATATATATATATATATATATATATATATATATATATATATATATATATATATATATATATATATATATATATATATATATATATATATATATATATATATATGTGTGACGCTCTAGACGCGAACAAGTATCCATACAATATACTCAATGTAAATATACACATAATCTTCGGTAGCGCCCCGCACGGTCTACGCTAGGAACTAAATTATACTTTTCACGTTTATTCAGTGTTAAATATGGCGTCTTCGGATTATTCGTTCAATCGGCTTTTCATGGTGTAACAGTTGCGTTGGCAATGTTAAAACATCGCTAAAGCTTAAAGCGTCAATATACTGACGCTCCTTGCACACTGACGCTCTAGTGAATGTAATTTCACAATAGATAGACGCCATAAGGATAGTAAGATAAATAAATATATATATATATATATATATATATATATATATATATATATATATATATATATATATATATATATATATATCAATAAAATATCAGGTCAATAAAATATCCGGATTGATAAAATATTAAAAGATGAAAAAAAAAAAAACAGCCGATTTGTTGCAAATGACACTCCGTATTGTCGAGAAGGAAAACTAAATGCCGTATTAATGAGTCTATTTTACCATCTGATTTTTCACTTGTCTCGTTCGATGTAGTGTCCTTATTTACTGATATTCCATTACAGTTAGTTGTTGATATTATAGAGGAACATTTTGACTTGGTTGAGCCCAACTGTACATTACCTAAGAAGGAGTTTTTGGATACGGTAACTTTTCTATATAATAATACTTTTTTCTCATTTGATGGAAAATTCTACCAACAAGTGAAGGGCCTTCCTATGGGGGGTGCGGCCTCCCCTGTGATTGCTGAGATTGTTATGAACAAATTACTTTATTATGTGATAGACAGAGTTAGTTTTGAATTCCCCTTCATATATCAATATGTGGATGATTTATTAACAGCAGTTCCACTTAACCTCATCGAATCCACACTTGAAATTTTCAATTCCTTTCATTCCGATCTCACTTTCACGGTGGAGACGGAGACATATCGTTCAGTCCCTTTCCTTGACACAAAGGTCATTCGCACTAGTGAAAATTTAGTTATTCTTGATTGGCATAGAAAAGTTACTAGTTCCGGTAGATACATTCCCTTCACATCGTATCACCCTAAAAAACAAAAGATCAATATGATTGTAGCATTGACTGATCGCATTAAAAAAGTTTGTCACCATAGTCAGTTAAATAAGAACTTAATGTTATTAAGGAACCGACTAATTAATAATAAATACCCACCATCGTTAATAAATAAAATTCTCTCCTGTAATATTGCCACTACAGACCTGCCTAATGCTTTACAACCACAGCTTAATGTTAATAATGAGTTGCCTAGTTTTGGCAAACTACAGTATATAGATAGATTGTCCCCGGCTCTAATTAGGATCTTTAAAGATACTAATATAAAAATTGCCAATTACAACTTAAGACCCCTCAAATATTTCTATTCCAATCTTAAAGACATTACCCCACCGTTACATAAATCAGACGTTGTATATTGCATTAAATGCTCTTGCAATTTAATTTACATTGGTCATACTTCACAGAAGTTAAAAAAACGGCTAACACTTCATAAAAGTGATTGTAAGTTAAAACCAAATATTACTAGTTTAAGTGCTCAATCTATATATATATATATATATATATATATATATATATATATATATATATATATATATATATATATATATATATATATATATATATATATATATAGATTTACCCGTGGATATAATAAAAGTGCGAACGATACATGTGAATAGTAACATAACGTCTGGAGTGTTCTACAACGACAGACCTTCGCACACAATTTACGAGTTTGCCTTGTCCGTCGATCCGGGGTACGCCATCGACGAAACTCCCAAATATCCAACGTACTTGCCATTAAACAAACGACAAATCTGTTGTTGGATTTGTCAAGCTGTGACCCACTGATTGGCGCGGAGCCTGCCCGTGTACTCTCTCCGGACTTGGTTTTGTTGAGCTGTGACCTACTGATTGGCACCGAACCTCCCCGCGCACTGTCTCCGGACTTGCTTTTGTGTTGTGACGCACCCGTATGAGTTGCACTACCCCGATTTATTCAAACATAACCTCTACTATCGCACGTTGCACCATCTGTTCCCCGCGTGCGCTCTCTGTATACCGCTGGCGCACACTTTACTAAGTTTCTCCCACCTTTTAATTTCAACTTTAGGAAAATCACCTGATACACCCGTAGTTTAGTTGATCGAGCTTTAATATTGTACATTGGTTTAGCAAGTTTCACCGAATTAGGTACTTAGTAATTTAGTTATATTATTTCCAGCTTTAATTAAATTCATTCACTTAAATTTAGAGTTTCATTTTCTTGCTCCATTTAAGAAGTTGAGCCCACTACGGAGGTGCCGAGGTGCAGAACAGGCAGAGCTTTTTTGTGATTTGGGGGCCTAACTTTGCACTGTTCAGTCTGGTTCAGCTGCGGTAGCCAAGCCGGACCGTAGATTCACAATTCACGTGGCGCCCAGAATTCAACATTTTGTTAGGGCTTGGCGATAGTAGCTAAACTACCCTGAATATCTACGGGTAACCTACCCGGGTATTGTGGTGCCATTTACCATACGCTTCTGAGATTTTGCCACGTCACATTTTAATGAACGTTTGTTTTTGTTTATACAAAAATGAAGGTGTTGCTTATTTATGATTTCCTCACCGAACCGTGTTGCCCTTTTACTAAAAGTCAGTATTATGCTTTTGTCACCAACCTTCAGTTTTTGACAACTTACAAACTCTTCAAGAAACAAGTTGTCATTAATGTTTATTAAGAAATCGTTATAATACTGTTGCTACTGCTTCACACAAACACCCACATACTTATACATTTTTTAATATATGGACGAGAGAGAAAAAAATCGAAAATTGCCGAACGGAACACAACGAAGTGACATGAAGAGTTTTGCATATGGCGCGTACGCCAATTGGAATCGGATATTGATACTGCGCATGCGGAACCCCAAGATTTTTCGCGAAAACCCGAATGAGAACTAACCAGAACATACCCAAACATACTTGAACACACCCGAACACGCCCGAACATACCCAAAAATTCAAGTTTTTCCGCCAAAAGTGGCTTAGAACTGGCACTGCTAAGCTACCATTAAAGTACTCGTAATCCTGAATGTCTAGTAGATCCAACAAATGTACAATTAAATTAGGTTAGATTATGTATTCAACATTTCATTTCAAAAATCAGTAGAATTGTCAGTGAAAAACAAAACTAAACAGCGTTTGCTCTTTGTTTCGCCGAGAATGCACGAAGATCGGACTCTAGTGTAGGATTCTGAGGTCCTGAGTATTGTTTGCCTAAGCTTGTCCGAGATTCAGATTCGCCTATGCAAGACGAACAAGAAGTTTCACAGTTTATTAATGATTAATAGCTTCCTCGCATCGAGATGCAGACCCAACTAGCAAACGTGAACCAGTAAAAAAAAACTTGGTTAGCTGGATTCTCCCCTTATTTTTCGGGAGACTTTCCGGATTTAATTTTACTGCGATTTGAGGAATTCCGTCCTCCATAAGTACCACCCCCGACGTTAAATCAGAGTATCGACATCATCGCGTCGAATTATAAGGGCGCATAATCCTCAAAACGTAGACGGCCGTAAACAATGCTCCACGCGGGGGGTCCGACTACCACCCTCATTTGCATTATATAGTTTCGGCACGGGTATAAATAACAAACAAGTGGCTAAGTGACAGTGTTTGGCACAGTACGCGGGACAGTAATTGAAATATATTGTCTGAGGCGGTAATTGTTTAATGCTCTCTTCTTCCTCCTCCTCCTCCCGTTCCGTATCGTTTTAATCATCGTTCCACACTTTTACTTAAGGGTATGAGGACCGCAATCCCATCTCACCTTGTTCTGATTGATGTTTATCGCTTGCGGGGTTGTTTCGGTATAATTGGGACTGTTGCGGATCGATTCGTTTCTTTTAATACGCGAACAAGCGAATACAGGGTTCACCTCGAATGGCCAATTAAAAACTCCAAAAAGGAGCTTTTACGGCTATCAATCTTCTTCATAATAATAATAATAATAATAATAATAATAATAATAAAATAATAAACGACAATGGCTAGATGAAGAACGGCGACTCATTCAGAGGATTTGACCCAGCAAGAAGCTGCAGTCACCCCAGAGATTGCCAGAAACATAACGCGCAGGTACAAATGGTCTACTCAAGACAATACTGATTTAATGCGTGCGTACTTCCTCTGTACGAATGGTGAACGGGAAAAGCAGGGATTTAGAAAAAAACTAGTAACTGAATGGGCCCGAGCTAGACCAGACTTAAAATTCGGAGAACAAAAGCTAGCTGGTCAACTAAACTCAATCAGGACTTTTGTCACAACTGGAGATCGGAAAAATTAAGGAAGAGGTTCAGACTGCTGATTGGACATAATAATGACTTACCTGAACATGATAATGATAATATCATTTTTAACAACGATAACTTACCTGATGGGGTCGCTGAGGTTGATGAAGAATTGACTGCTCGCAGCAACAGAAACGCAGAAGTCGAACCTGAAATAGAAAAAACAGAAATATTAGAGATGTTCAATGGACATATGATTAACTATAGTAAAATAGATCCGGAAAGACGCCCTAGGCTGCCTAAAATACGACCTAATAAGAAAACCAAAGTACTAAGCCCTGTGGCCACATTAAGCGATATCCAGGCCCTCGTATATGTTGCTGCTATAACAACGATTCAGTATATGCGTATTAAAATAAGAGGTGATAAAGGAAGATCCAGTAATCAAAATTCCCCACCGTGGGAGACCAGAATTGAACAAAATATTAACAACCACAGAAGCATACTGACAAAACTATATGAGTGGTAAAGAGGCAACAAATGTAAAAAATTAAAAAAGGAATGTAAAAAATACCTTAAGGACAGAAAAATATGTATTGGTAGTCCAGATTACAACGAACAGATGGCAATACTAAAGGATAATCTAAAACAGAAAATTGCAATGCTCGGTAAAAGGCTGCGAAGATATAATATTAGCTATAAAAGGAAGAATGATAATAAAAAATATGGCAGCAGTGAGAAGTTATTCTATAAACAATTAAATGAAGAAAATGTGAAACAGGGAAAACCACCTGACGCAAATATCTGGGAAGAAAAGGGCAACTATAATAAGGATGCGGTTTGGCTACAAGAAGAAAAAAATAACTGCGCCACTATAGCGGACATGGAGCCTATAAAAGTAGAGGAATAAGACGTAATAGCGGCTTTAAGAAGGGCACATAACTGGAAGGCTGCAGGACGAGACCACCTGCACAACTACTGGTGGAAGAAAGTAGCTGTAACCAAAAATTTGACAAGCGATAGTGACTTGCCAGAATTTCTAACAAAAGGTATTACCTACATGGTGCCAAAGGCAGATCAAACAGAAAACCCTAAGAACTATAGACCAATAACTTGCCTTCCGACGCTATATAAAATAATCACCTCAATAATAGCCACAAAGGTATCTAAGCATCTAGAAAGACACCATATCTTAACAGAAGAGCAAAAAGGATGTCGTTATGGGTCTCAGGGCTGCAAGGAACAACTGATTATAGACACCATTACTACTCACGATGCCCGTCTTAGATCACGCAATATTGCAGTGGCATTGATTGACTATCAAAAAGCCTTCGATTCGGTGCCACACTCTTGGCTAATTGAATGCTTAAGACTCTATAAAATCGATGAGAAGATAGTCAATCTATTAGAAAGGTGTATGAAAAACTGGCAGACCAAATTAGTTGTAAACCTTGATACTGGATCTGTGAACACCGAAGAAATACCAATACGAAGTGGAAACTTCCAGGGCGATGCGCTAAGCCCTATATGGTTTATCCTGAGCCTGAATCCCCTCTCCTGGGCCTTAAAAAGATCGAACCTAGGATACGAGCTGAAAAATGGAGACCAAAAGTATAAACTAAGCCACATCTTTTATATTGACGATCTGAAGCTATATGCGGGATCTGAAAACACACTGAATAGATTAATCCAACTCACACAACAATTCTCAGATGACATCCAAATGAGATTCGGGTTGGATAAGTGTGCCAAACTTACAGCTCATAAAGGTATACCAAAAACTTATGATAAGCTGGAATCTGAAACCGAAATAATGTATCTTAACAACGCGTATTATAAATAAATAAATATTAATCAGAAGAAATAAATATTAATCAGAACAATGCTAAGGCTAATATAGAAACTAAACTGCAAAATAGGGTGATAAAAATATTAAAAACGGAACTAAACGGAAAAAACAAAATTAAAGCTGTAAACGCATGGGCGGTACCGGTAATCACGTACACGTTTGGTATATTAAAATGGTCTAACACTGACTTGGAGGGGCTGAACAGGAAAATAAGGACCCTCATGATACAGCATAGAATTCACCATCGTAAGGCATGCACTGAAAGGCTACACTTGTAACGGTCTATTTTTCACCGTTAGCGCTTCCGCCAATTCGTCAAGAACCCTGGTAAAATTTTCGAACGGCTTAGTAATACAGCCAATTTTTTTATTTAGGATCTTATTGCACTTATACGTTACTAGGTACAGTTAACATAAGCCATTAAAGGATATTTCTAACGTAGTATTGAGAAATTTCGTGTAGTGGTGATTATCTTCTTCCAACTCTATATATAATGCCCCTGCGTCGCCTTCGCTGGTCTTGTCGCGACATTACACGCCAGTGCATGTAGACATGTTTGCATACTTCCTTAGGTTGAGACCTTAGTACTTCTTGGATGGCTAGAGGCTGCTCAGAGTTGTAACGGTTATTGTAGCCATTGCTTTCGTTCGTCCTGGTATATTCCTGCGACATCCCTCGCACTCGAGGCTCCGTAGCATTGCCTGTCTCTATTCTAGTTGTCGCTCCTTAAAAGGAGAGCGATCAAATCAGTATCCAAGGCTATAAGAGAAGATATGCACCACATGGTTATTTCAGGTTAGTTGGTTGCTGTTCCCTGTGTTCGGGTTGTTATGCATAGAGGGAGCATTTTAGTACCTACCTGGCTGTTATTTGTACACACCTCCCTGGTTCTTGACTTAGAAGTCAGTATTTCTTACAGTATTCGGTTTGCCGGCATTGTTTACGTCCGTCGCCTCCCATCACCTGACAGGTGTTTGGCGGTGTTGCCGGAATGCATAGATTTCGTGAAGTGCTCCGTGGATCCTTCCGATGTAAGCTAGTCCAATAAATAAAAATTACGTTCTCTTGGTCGTTGATCTAGGGTTATTTGTTTACTCGTTTAGCGCAGGTATCATTGCGCTACATGCCACCCTTTCCGTAGCACACAAGCATCATTTGTCTCGTGTAGTCGTAGCTCATACAAATGCGAAACTTGGCAGCATGTATCTTTGGCGCCTTATTTAGTTTGGAGGAAGGCCGTAGTGTTCCGAAAGGAAGAGATACTAAAGTGGATTCTTCGCGTGTGCGAGTGGGATGGATAGTATTTTCGGTTTTACGACGTACTTCCGGCAGGAAGTCTCGCGGAGCAATCGTTTAGCCATTTTGGCAGTAATCGTTTAGCAAGCAGTTGTGGTGGATAGTGTTGCTGGCGGTTCGCTTGTATTTCTGTGGTGAAGAGCACCCGGAACCCATTTTGTTGGGGAGTAAAAAGCGAAAACCGCTGCGTGTGAGTTGTTGTTGTGTAGAAGCCAAGAGGGAGGCGAGTGAGGCCGTTCCAGGGCTTATTGGGATTTGGCTGAACAGCTCACGCACCATTTTGTGGCATTATCGGCTCACGCCACCACGTGCTATTGATTCCGCCTTCGATCACTAGGGATCCTATAACACTGCTGTGCATAGAGGCGCTAAGCCGGTTAGCTTCCGTCGTTTGGAGTTGTGGTAATTGCGGCCATTGGTTTGTGCTGTATTCAGGCTGCACGAGTCGTTAAGCGAGCGGAAGCGTGGAAAACCCTCGCTAGAGGTAAGAATCTTCCGCTATAGTACACTGTAAACTGAGGAATTTGTTTACAGGGTTTTCCTACTTGGCGTTTAGTTCCCGGTTTTAATTTCCGATTGGTTCTTTCTCTGTTTTGGATCTTCCTTTTTTCTTTTCCTGGATAGTCCTTAACGTATGTAAACTTAAATTATTAGTAATGACCCTCGATTGTGTTGTAACTATAGACACCCTCGTTTAGTGTCGAAGCTCGGTAGCTTCCCTCTCATACCATGCGCATTGTTCGAAGATATATGACGTCATAAATCGCTCGTTCAGTTTCGCGCTATCTACCCGGTTGACTTGAAACTACCGGCGGTTGACGCTAATCCTTGCGGCGCTATAGCGGGGAACTAATAAGATCACGTTCCGATTAACCGACTTTACCTTTCCCTTTTTACATTTGGCTTATTTTAATTTTTCTTTTTTTTATATACATACTCATGTACCAACATTTGTACAATTAAACTCTAATACTCCGTGTCAACCGAGTTTGTTGTTATTGTGACCTCTCATTGGGATTGGGGTTCTCAACTCGAATAATCACTTCGTATTTAGTGGGAAGTCGAGTGCACAGTAATAAACTCTATCTTCTTGGCGGGTTAGGTAGTGTATAAATACGTGGCGCCCTTATAAAAATTCCCCACGCCCTTCTCCACTGTTTAAAAGCTGGCGGCCGCTACCGATACCCTTCTTGCCAATACTGTGTCTACGAGTGGCCCCATCTGACTTCCGCTAGACTGACCGTAAAAAAGATACTTCGACGTTGCTTAAGCTCGCTTGTCAGTCGGATAGATACTCAGCTGTAGATCTCAGAAAAAATGAAATAAAATAGATACCAACACTTGATGAGGGAAAAGAGAAGTGGTTGAGTAAGCCCCTTCATGGAAAATATGCAGCTAGTTTAAAAACTGCTGGGAGCGAATCAACAAATTGGTTAGTTAAGGGGCAGCTATTCGCTGAAACTGAAGGATTTATCACAGCTATTCAGGATGGAAGCATAGCGACTAGGAATTATAAGAAGTATATCCAAAAGATCAGAATAGATGATGATAAATGTCGTATGTGTGGACGGGTGCCAGAGACCATCCAACATGTAATAGCAGGATGTCAAACGCTAGCTCCGTCTGAATACACCAAAAGGCACAATTTAACAGCAAATATTGTACACCAAGAACTAGCAATGCTATGCAACCTAGGAGAGGGAAAATACAGTCCATATTTTAAATACATACCTGCTCCAGTTCTTGAGAACGAAAATTATCGGCTATACTGGGATACACCTATAGTAACAGATAAACCAATAGCCAGCAATAGACCAGACATTATTCTGCTGGATAAGGCTAATAAAAAGGCGTATTTCATCGACGTCTCACATCCCTCGGACCACAACCTGGAACAGAAAGAGAGAGAAAAAATTAATAAGTATTACGACTTGGCAGAGGAATATAAAAAAATACTCACCCTAAAAGCAGTACATGTTATCCCTGTAATTATATCGGCCACTGGGCTAGTTACCAAGAAGCTTGCAGGATACCTGGAAAGACTGAATATAGCGAATAAAACCATCGTTACAAAAATGCAAAAGTCCGTAATACTTGAAACTTGCAAAATCGTCCGAAAGACCCTGAATATCCCGGAGACATAACCCCCCCCCAACTTTAGTGACTGGTTAATAAACCCCACTAAAGCTGCTACCCTAATAAGGAGGAAAAATAATAATAATAATAAATAGCTTTATTGCGTTAGCCATTGAAAATAATGATATTAATTTTTATTTTGTTTATTTATTTTTTATGTTCGTATAGAAAATAGTCAAAAAAAATAAAATAAAATGGAGAGTAATTAATTTACTTATTCAACACTATCTTAATCTATGAACAAGTAAGGACAAGAGATACTCTAACCAAACGATTTCATTAAAATATATTTCAAGTAGTGTATTAAATAAATATTGGTTTCCAATCCTGTTACCAAAGGAGGACAAGGGCAATATTACAAGAAACTATAGAACATAAGAGATGCGAGGTCAGAGCATACGCTGTTTTATTTGCTCCGTTAAAACCGATAATAAGTTCGGAAAAAGTTTTCGTAAAAAATTAGATTCGGTACCAATATTTGGAGAAAGAAACCAGGAATTCTGTGTACGAAGAATCGAAAAGAAAAAACATTACGCTATTGTGCAATTGTAAGTTATTCACTCGAGTTATAAATGCTTTAATATTGTAAACCGCTGAATAAAGTTTCCCATATATATTGTATTACTAGTTTCCCAAAGTGTCAGCAATTTGTTTATATGAAACCACGGTGCGAACCACATCGCCAGCTTTTTGTCATCTCGCTTGAATAAAGTTTTTTAAAAAATCTGGAAAGATTAATTTCTCGTTTTGAAACGTTAGTGTTAAAACCTAGAGTAGCTTCTGTTGATAATTTTAATACATCATCTAATTCCAATTCCGATACTGACATTAATTTAAACACAATGCCGGATACGGTGAATCTTCAATTAATTAGGTACCAAGCGGATAACATCCCTCATTTCGACGGCAATCCCAAGCAAATAAATCGTTTTATTAGAATCTGCGAAAATTATCTAACCAATCATCAAAATGTAAATAACCCAAGTGCTTCAATAAATGTTTGTTTAATCGATACAATAATTAGTAAACTAATAGGTAGAGCAGCTGATTTAATAGCTTCTCGTTCTGAACTCGATAGTTGGGTAAAAATCAAAACAACCCTTTTGGCAACGTTCTCCAATCAAAGATCAGTTGATTGTCTTTTACAGGATATAATTTCAATGAAACCCAATAGTAGTGAAAGTGCGCATAATTTTGGTTTACGCTTGCCAGATGCCCGTAGTATTTTATTTTCAAAAATTAAAGATATCAATATAAAAACTCAAAAAATTATCCAATTTGAAGATCTGATTTTAAAAACATTTATAAACGGTCTTACTTACTATATGCAGTTAGTTGTACATTTAAGAAATCCAAAATCTCTCGAAGAAGCCATGTCGTTCTCGTTAGAAGAAGAAAACTTTATCGCTTATAATAACCGTGTTGATATTTCAACCAAAACTACACCTGTTGCAATGCAAAATAAATCAAAACCTCTACTAGGCCAATACCCAATTAATTACCCATTAGCTTCGCAAAATTTTACCAGCCCATTTTAACCGCCAACAATTCGACCAAGTTTTAATAATTTTAATCCCCCGAGATTTCAAAATAATTTCCAAATAAGACCCTATTTTCAGAATATTCCAGGACCAAATTTTCTAAATAATCAAAGACAAAACTTCCCGAATATTCAAAGAAATAACCCGATAATCCAAAGACATCAATTTAATCCAAGACCTTACCTATTTATGCAAAGACCTATGCATTCAATTGCAAGACCCATGTTTAATCAATATAACCAAAATCCAACCCCAAAATTTGACAAACCGGAACCTATGGATACTTCATCAGGCAATACTCATATAAATCAAATTCAACCAAATAAAAATTACTATCTAGCAAAAGAGATAGACAATCAATCCACAACCGCCCAAGCTAATTCAAACAACGAAATATCAAATTCTGAAAGTGAAAATCCTTATGATTTTTATTATCACGAATATCCCAGCCCAGAAGAACAATACACCTGCGACACAAATTATGACACACAAGCATTTTCCGATCAAATATATCAATTAGACGAAAATAACTACTGTTATAATGAACAGGACGGAAATTTTCAGGAAACTCCGAATACGAGCAACCAAACTTAACGCAAAATTTCCCCCAAAACTACACTTCAATATATGTCAATAATTATAATCATTCTGATTTACCAATAGTTTATTTTCTGAACTTGATGCTCAATTTCTATTAGATACAGGTAGCGCGAAAAGTTTTATAAATCCACAGTTAGCTTACAAATATTACCCCGACTTTATAAATATTGAAAATTTTTCAGTAATGCCAGCTCATGCAACATCTGTTCATAATGAAGTAATGACAATACCATTATATCCTTCTTTTAATTGTCCTGATCAACAACATAAATTCTATCTTTTTAACTTTTCCCCAAAATTTGATGGACTTATAGGAGTAGATCTTTTGAAACAAATAAAATCAAGAATAAATATTAGTTATTATTATTAGTATTAGAATAAATATAAATATACACTGGAAACACCAAATGTAATAATTCCACTGTATTACCAACATAATATTAAAACCACCCCAGCGGATCCAAAAATAAATAAAAATTTTGACGAATTCAAATTTAAATTCGATGAAATTATCATTCAACCAAGAACAACACATAAAGTTACAATACCCGTGACAGAACAAAATGATATAGGAATCTTAAAATATGAAAAAATTGTGAATGCCGAAATGCCCGAAGCTTTATAGACGAGGCGCTGGATGGAGTTGAGTTTGCAAATTGTGAGGACCGCATTTTGGCAATTGATTTGAGTTCAGAAAAGCTTGTAGATTAATAATCCGGATGTTGCCGGACATTTTATTGGTCCAATTTTTTTTTAATCCCCTCCCACCCCGTAGCGCGTTACCACAGCGAGCGCGTGCTATGGGTCTAGTTTAATAGTTAATTTAGTAATATTTTTTAATTTTTTTTACTAAATACATATAATAATAAGTTGCCAAATGATTATAGAACAGCAATTATTTATAAAAAAAAGTCATAAATTGTTTATAAAAAAATTATTTAATCAAAAAAATCAAATATAAAGATATATACTTAAAAATACAAAAACATTCTAAGAAATGCAGGTGTGAGAGCTGGTATAGCAGATATATAATCAGATTCTTAGAACTGGAAGTAAATTGTGAATAGGGTTAGTCTCCTGTCTTTTGTGTTCCCCTCACATAAGTGAAGAAAAAATAAGGCGACGAGAGATAACGTTGGTGAATGAAGAAGACATATCTACTTCCGATGTATAAATAAGTGATTCAGATATTGCAGGTACCAGCAGAAATATTCGTCAGTCATTAGGAGATCATCCATCAGTTAATTTGCAGCAGAAATGTTTAATTTGTGGGAAGGTAACAAGAAACAAAAATAAACAACTTTTTTTGTGCTCTGAACTTTCAGCTGAGCAACAAATTTTCGATACTGCAAATAAAAAACAAGGTCATGTTTTTACAAAAATTAGTACTTGTAAAGAACCTGAGGATTTATTTGCAATTGAAGTAAGATACCACAAACATTGTTACCGTGATTATTTGCGACTACCGAGAAATTCGGAACTGCCTGCAGGTCGGCCTATGAACAAAGTACCTGAAGAAATACTTATGGAGAGTTTTGATAAACTGATGAATGAAATACAAGACCAATTTTCATCTCACTCGTTTGAAGTATCGTTTTTGGCAAACCGATTAGCTGAACTCACTGAAATTGAAAATGCAACTGTTGAAAATCGCGTTATGAAATCACTACTCGTTCGGCGGTATGGTGAAAATATTTTGTTTTCATATCCCTCTGATCGATCGAAATCCTCTCAAGTATTTATGGGTAATATACCACTGCAAGATGTCGTTGAACATCTTCGAGAAGTAAAGTCAAAAAATTATATTGTTCAATGTGCGAAAAAACTTCTGGAAGAATTGGTTTCGACGGAATTAATACCTGGTCGTTATTTATATGACGAAACTTTAATCAAAAAATTTTTGAACGATGGTAAATTACCAGAAAATTGGCTCACTTTTATGCAAGCATTATTTAGTGCTAAAAATAAAAAATAGGTGATAATTACTTTCGACGAGCGCTATCAGTTTTTTATGATGTATATTTTACAATAACCGAGAAACAGACTCCAATGCATATAGCTATAGCGGAATCTATTCATCACTTAACAAGATCAAAACAGTTGATAAGTATGTTAAATAAATGTGGACACTGTATTAGTTATAAAGCATTAGAAAATCTGGACCATGAAATCACAGCTTCAATTGTATGTGAGGATGCAGACAAAAAATTATTAATTCCAAAAAATATTGTTTGCGATTCTTCGTTATTTCTTCATAGATAGATACCTCTACCTCTACTATACCGAGTACCTTTTAAGATTGATGACAAAGTATTCATGCCATAAACGTTGGTTTCAATCAAAATGCTACCAAGTCCACTTCCTTCTATATATTGACCTAAGCATCGTAACAAAATTTTTTGTAGATTAAATGTCCCGACTCTCAGTACCAATTTTTCAAATTCCTGACTGGTTTGTTGTATATTTTTTGCAATAAGATATATAGCCATGTCACAAGATAAAACAGCTATTTTTTTATCTAATGCAAGGCTTACGTTAACAAAATTTTTCATAGCAGACACAGGTAACTTTTCAGATGATAGTATTTGTTGAAAGGAGTCCATCCTGGAATTGAATTTTCTGATGTTCGGCAGAAATTATTTTCTACTTCATCATACTGCAGCCTACATAAGACCCAGACCAAATGATCAAATTGTAAATCATTTTTACTATACGTCAATAAAGAACTACTGTCTATGTATTTCGGTAAAATAGGCTCCATATGTGTACCAAAATGTAGGATTTCTTGACAGTTCAACGTTTTCAAATCATAATTATTGCGCTAGGCTGAAGGTTTCAATTTAATAACATTAATCTCATCTTTAATATTTTTTTGCTCTTGATAGATCACCATTGCTGTAACGTGAGTTGAATCTTTTCCGCTTAATGTTTCTTCATTAAAATCATCATTATCTATCGCACCATGAAGAAATAACGAAGAATCATAAACTTTTGTACGAATCACTTCGAAGCATGCAGCTTTCAGAATTTATAGGAAGTGTAAATTTCTCTCAAGATCAGCTACAGCAATTACATTTTTGTCTACAGACAATAAGAGAAGTAACAGTAGACAAAGAGCATTCAGGCGTGGGTGAGAAATATAATCAATTAAAAGATTTTTTAACCGAGTTTTCAAATTTCGTACACCGCAAGAGTACTGACAATGAAATATGATTATTTTAAATTCAATAAAGGCTGACAGAAGTAATGATTATGAATTACATTTGTTAACTACTAGACAGATATTATTGAACTGAGGTTGCTTTTACTTGATGAAAATCCATTTCTCAAAATAAATAAGAACTAAAAGTTCAGATTTTCACGAAATTATATATTATGACATGACAATTGTTTCGACAACACCGTGTCTTTCTCAAATATGACATTTGATAAATAATAATATATAATATATCATAATATATAATAAATAATTTCGTGAAAATCTGAACTTTTAGTTCTTATTTATTTTGAGACAGATATTACCTTACTTTTTTTCTATGAACCACACTAATTACATTCGCGGAGTGAGACTTTATTTATTAGATATGTTAGAATTACCATCCGAATTTATAAATGATTTGTCTGTAAAACGGAGTCAAGGTACATTGAATGCGGTGAGCCAGGACTTAGCACTAGAGCAGTCTCAGAATCGATCTTCAGCAGCTACTGGAGGCCTGATTGGCATAACTAAAAATGAAGACGCGATGCAGAGATGGATACTTCTGTATCCATTTAAAAACAGTATTCACTCTTTCTTCGTATCTGGATATACAATCGGACTCAACAAGTGATATCAATTATCATAATGAATGGACAGGGGTGCAACGTTAGCTCGCCTCCTCGTGGTGCACCCTGGGTAACGCTAAAGAGCTAACACAGCTGGCGGTCAGACAATTTGTATCTATATCCTGTCCCTTAAATACATGTTTCTACTGTTTCTACATTTCTACTGTTCTACTAGTGAGGATGACCTCGCAAGCTATTCCAAATCAGATTCGAAACAGCTCTTCTCAGAGCCCCAAGACTAGAATTATCGGACCGTCAGTCCGTATTTGCCAGCTAAATATAGAGGGTATAAGTAGAGCCAAATGTGAATACCTATCTAAACTGCTGACCGAAAATGACATCGATGTTGTGACCCTCCAGGAAACCCACACAAACAGCGAAGAAGAATTTCAAAAAAGAGGTCGTATCCCTGGTTATACCGCACTTGTATCTCTTTTCCATCATGCCAATGGCTCAGCCACATACGTCAGGAGCACTATAAAAAATGCATCCTTAGTATCATCCAAGTGCACGAACAGTGTCTACATAATAACCGTCAAGATCGGCCTTCTCTCGATAATCAATGTGTACAAGCCGCCTGGTATGACCTGGCCGGAAGCAGCTTTACCAATAGAAACTCGCCCCGCGGTCTATATCGGTGACTTCAACAGCCACAGTACTGCCTGGGGCTACCTTAATAAAAACGTTGCTGGTACCGAATTAACCAGCTGGACGGAGATCAGTAATCTCTACCTAGTTCACGATGCCAAGCAGCCAGGGACATTTAGATTCGCCGCCTGGAAACAAAGAAGGAAAGTGCTGTCATGCTTTCCCCATAGCCAACATAGGCCTGTTCTGGTGACAGTAGGAGTCCAAATCCCACTTATATATTCAACACCAAAGCCAAGATGGAATTTCAATAAAGCGGACTGGGGAAAATTCCAACACATTCTGGATAGAACTCTGCACTGGATCCCGGCTAAGCCCAAAAAT